GAACTGAGTTGGAAATAATACAGTATATACCGTAAATTCATTCTGCTGAATGGCTTGAGGTGGCATTGCTGTGGATGCAGCGTGTAACTCGTGAAGAAGAAGTAAGAATGTGCCATGGTTTCCCCTACGTGTCTAAAATACAGGCTGGCATTCCCTGAAGAGGCATACATGTTGTGGGCCTGTAGCCAGTGAGAACTGTTACGGTGGAAACTAACTCTTGTCTCCTGGCACAACCCTGCTGAATCCACGTCGTATTCTTTAATCCAGCTCATTGCATGGCAGCATAAATCTTCGTGTTGGCGTGGGCTAGAGATGAATGGGCAGGGGAGCCAGCGTTGTTACTTTTGTTAGCAATGTGGTGTCCGGGCCTGGTTCAAGCAAAGTCTGAATGTAAGGTTCCATAGCTGTTTGATTTTTTTTTTTTTTTTTTTTTAATATGAATGGATGTTGCTGCTAAAAAAGGGTGGAGGTCTTCCCCTTTACTCCTCCTGCTCAAAACCCACGTGCTCTTGATCCAGCTCACTATACAGCTGCATGAACAACTATACTGGCTCAAAGGAGTAGATGAAAATGTGGGATCTTATCACTTGCCATCCTCATGATAACCATGATGGTGATTATGGAACTCCTCCCAAGTTAAGTGATATGTTTTCACCTGCTCACTGGAGCACTCTGGAAATGGTTGTTCCATTTAAAAAAAAAATCTTATAGAATTATTTTGATAAAAATAAACCCTGATGTTTGAGAAATTCATTCTTCTGAGCAAGAATGAACAGGTAAGTGTGCTTTTAAAATCTTACTTCCTGCAATGATTTCATGTTAGACACTAACAGTTACCAATTGACACATTGGAAATACATACTCTCAAAGCTCAGTGAACTACCTACCTAGACTTAGGTTCTCCCTCAGCTTGCATCAGTGCACAGAGGCAGGAGGAGAAACAGTTTCAAGCCTCTCTTCCTTCTTGATAGACAATGGATTTCTTTGTTTTATACCTTTGAATGAAGATACTTATGTAATAATAGGTTATTAAAAGACAGCAAACTATACAGTTCTTGTTAGAATTCTTAAATTTGAGAATTTAAGCCCATGTAAAATGGGACTGTTCTCAGTGAAAGGCATTCCAATGCATGTTTTCTTATCCCTTGCAGTGTTGCCCTTTTGAAGATTCAGTAAGTGCTAAGGCTACAGAGGAACCTTACCTATTTCTAACAATACATGGGGGGGTTTTGTCCTCTCTACTTTTCAGTTTTTTTGTTTTTTTTTTTTTGTTCGTATCCACTAAAACTTGCAGTGCTTCAGGCCCAAGCACACTTAAATTTTCAATTATTTTACAGATGAATCCTGTGGGTTTTTCTTGTTTCTCTTCCCCCCTGCATTTGCCCCATTGTAATGGGCACTACAGGGCTGGAAGCAGTAGATTGCATTTGATGTGAACAATACGGATGACGGTTAGAACCAGAAAACAGTTTTCTTGTTATCACTAGAGAAAACGAGGTTCTGTAGGAGTGAATATTATAAATTGGAAGGAAGGATGGCAAATCAGCTGGCAACTGACTGAAGCTTGACAAAAGGTTGAGAGGGAAACATAGGGTTTGAAACAAACAGGCAATCGGGGAAGGGTAAGTAGTCAAAAATGGAACAACTGGCTGAAGGTCCCTGGTTAACTGTTCCTGTAGCAGCTCTGGTGTGCTGGAGTCACCGCTGGATCCTCTTTGGTGTTTGTTTCCTTTAAACTGCAGTATGTAGATGATGGTAGGTGATGCTTCTTCAGGCAATTTTAGGAAAATGTAAGGTCACCTTTACCTAATTCCTCATCCCCCCCCACTGAGGAGGAATAGGAAAGGTAGCTTGATCTCAACTTGTTTCCTCTTCTAAGTAATTCTAGATCTGGTTTTCTCAGATATTCCCTGTGTCTCTAGAGTGTAGTGCAGCATCAGGCATTCTGAAAGGAAATGACATTAAAAATACCAAGTGTAACTCTTTTTATTTCTGGGAATTTGCTATCGTAGCAAGTCTTCTTTTAGAGAATCTTCAGGAGGGAAAATTACTTTTTCACCAAAAAATAACTTGGTTTTGGAAGCCTCTTAACTGTATTGTTCAATTCACACACAAATATCTCAAAGCTCTTTAGAGCTGATTGGGTCAAGAATTAGTTGAGCATCAGAACATTATCAGGATAAACAGTAGAGCCTCACCATCCAGGAATGTGCTTAACCTGAACAGCATTAACCAAAATACTGAACTGAATCTGATGCTGTTTCTGATGCTGCTGCATTATAATTGCTCTGACAATGTTTATTTTAAGATACTGGTTTTTTTGTCTTTTATGAAAATACTAGGTCTGGGCTGACTTGGTAATGTACTTGAATCTATACTTGGTATAGCAATTATCAATTGCAGAAATAATTTTTGGATTAGTGAAATTTCATTATATTATCCCACAGCGTGTGGGTTAATAATGTTCTGTGCTGCAGCTTTCCAGATTTTTCTTCTTTTGCCTTCATTCCTTTTATCAAAACTGTGGGTATTTGGGGGGAGAACTGAACAGCAAAATAGTTTGGGGATTTTTTTTTTCCCTTTAAACCAATAATGTGGTTTTTGACATAGTATGCTTATATAGTTTTATTAGAGGATGAAGTATGAAGTTTACCAGTTTATATAAGGAAATCAACTCAATGGCTTTTAATATCTTGCTACTCAGAATTTTAATCTTCTTGAACAGACCATAGTATAATAGCTAGAGTTCCCAGCCTTGAAAGCACTGAATTGCGGCACAATTCAGGAAGCAGGTGTCTTGAAACAAGAGGAAGGAAGTATTGGCAATAAGATTAAGCATGGTTAGAAAGCTATTGCACGATTGCTTCCAAACCTTATGTAGTTTTTATTTGATGACATAGTATGCTTATATAGTTTTATTAGGGGATGAAGTATTTTCCTTACCAGTTTATATAAGGAAATCAACTCAATGGCTTTTAATATCTTGCTACTCAGAATTTTAATCTTCTTGAACAGACCATAGTATAATAGCTAGAGTTCCCAGCCTTGAAAGCACTGAATTGCGGCACAATTCAGGAAGCAGGTGTCTTGAAACAAGAGGAAGGAAGTATTGGCAATAAGATTAAGCATGGTTAGAAAGCTATTGCACGATTGCTTCCAAACCTTAACACTAACAAAAAAAAAAAAATTGATTCATTGTAGCACTAGGAAAGTGTCTTGCAGAGGGAATCGATGGAGGAAATGTTAATTCAGAAGTTAATTTAGGAATTGCATTCTATGCATGCTTAAGGAACAGTTTAAAATGTAAGTAAATGTTTATGAGGAAAAAAGGTGTAACAATGAACATTAAAAACAAATACATATGTGGAATGTAGTAAGAAAATGCTGGGGCTATATTAACTTGCCTTTGTATTGCATTCCTTCTTCCTGTATGGTATTGTAACTCTATGAAATACAAGCAGAAATGTCTTTGGAAAATATCATTGTCCTTTTGGTTGTTCAAAAAAGTTAGAGTTAATTGTTTGCTACAGCACCTGTTTGCTTGTTAGCAAAAGGCTTGTATGTGTGCTCCCATGTTTGCTTCAGCCATCTGTCTTAACGCTATTTGTCAGTTATGACTTTAAACCAACCTGACTCTTTATGCACCAAAAGAAGTCAAAGTCCTCTATCAGGTCTATTAGTAGGCTGGGGAGAGCAGTAATCCTTAGTGTGCAGTGTTGTGTTTTGTTACTACTGCAGGACCTAGGAGGAGATGCTTGTCCATGGTCTGAGTTAAGCCTTTGTACTGGAAAACTGGATGAGGAAAAAAGGGTTTCAAACCATGTCTGTGATTCCTTTATCAAATCATCACTGTACATACAAAATATATTATAAATAATATGATTTGAGATAGTAGAAGTAATCTATTAAAACTGTCAAGTCATTAATATGCTGATATTTATTGTACACTGTTTCCATTTTTATTGTTGATACCAAAAGACTCTAGCATGCATCTATCCGAGTTTTCCTCCTATCTTTTAAATAAAATTTCTCTTAAGCTACTGTAGTATATGGTGTCATCTAGTAGGCTAGTTTGAGGACAATGACACTGTCTCAGTACTCTTCTGAGTCCTTTTTACTTGGGAAAAGGAAGAAGCATAAGATCTCTATGGTTAGCAATATTCTAAACTGGATTAGACCTCCAAAGTGGTACAGATATTGTAATTGGCATGAGGTTATGTATTCTCTACATCTCTCTAAGGTTGCACCATAGACTATCTCAAGTTGGAAGGGACCCATAAAGATCATCGAGTCCAACTCCCTGCTCCTTGCAGGACTACCTAACACCAAAACATATGACTAAGAGCATCATGAAGACACTTCCTGAAGGCTGACAGGCATGACAGAGCACTGTCTTCTCCATATATAAAACCTGCAAAGTTACATACGAACCAGCATCTCTTTCAGATCCACTTCGCTTCTCTTATCAACTAAGATAGAATTCTAGTTTAAAGGATTTAGCTTTAAAAAAACAAACAAAACCTCAAAACCAAACAAAGAACCCAAACAAACAAACAAAAAATCCCAGAACTATTAAGATCTGTCTCTGTGTGTGGTGGGTTAACCTTGGCTGGCTGCCAGACACCCACCAAGCTGCGCGCTCTCTCCTCCCCTTCAACAGGACAGATAAAGACAGGGAGATGGTTTATCAATTACCATCATGGGCAAAACAGATTCAAGGTGAGGAAGATTAATTTATTGCCAATTAAATAGATTTGGATGGTGAGAAACAAACACAAAAATAATAAAAAACCCAAAACAAACCTTCCCCCTCACACCCCTCTTCAACTTCACTCCTTCATTCCTGACTTCACCTCCTCCCCTACTCGAGCGGTGGAGCAGGGATGGGGAATGGGGATTGTGCTCAGTTCATAACAGTTCCTCTCTGCCGCTCCATCTTCCATCTACTTGTTCTCTGCTCCAGTGTAGGGTCCCTCGCATGGGATACAGTCCTTCAAGACCTGCTCCAATGTGGGTCCTCTCCATGGGGTACAGTCCTTCAGGAACAGGCTGTTCCAGTGCGGGTCCCCCACAGGCCATAGTTCCTGCTGGAAAACCTGCTCCTGCATGGGCATCTCTTCATGGGATGCAGCTTCTGCCAGGAACCTGCTCTGGTGTGGGCTTTCCACAGACTGCAGCTTCCTTCAAGGCATATCCACCTGCAGCATGGAGTCCTCCACAGGCAGCAGTGTGGACATCTGCTCTAATGTGGTTTTCCATGGGCTGCAGGGGGACAATCTGTTTCACCATGGCCTTTTCCATGGGCTGCAGGGGAATCTCTGCTCTGGCACCTGGAGGACCTCTTTTCCCCCTCCTTCTTCACTGACCTGGGTTTCTGCAGGGCTGTTTCTCTCACATTTTTCTTACTCTCCCAGCTGCTGTCGCACAGCATTTTTTACCCTTTCGTAAACATGTACACGGAGGTGCCACCAGCATTGCTGATAGGCTCAGCTTTGGCCAGCGGTGGGTTCGTCTTGGAGCTGGCTGGAATTGGCTCTGTCTGACACGGGGGCAGCACCCTGTGTCTCCTCACAGAGGACACCCCTGCAGGGCCCCCCCCCTTGCTCTGCACTCTACCAAAACTGGACACGTAAACCCAATGCACCACATTACTGGACCAAATCTTATTCTAAAAGAGGACTCTGCACATGAAAAAATTTAAATGTTCTATGTCATCTTTAGAAACAGATACTGAGCAAATCCAGTAACTTTCCTGTTCCTGTTCCCAGTATTTCTTGTTTATAACTTTCTGCAGCCTGGCCTTTACGGGTGTGTGCTCTTAGGATTGTGCTGATGCGTTCTGGGCTGTAAGCGACATAAATAACGTGAACTGACTTAAATCCCATCAGATCTGTGATAGCTGACAACTGTACAATTTGTACTGGATGAATGGCTGAAAACTTTGCTTGGTTTATGTGTAGTTTTATCATTTTATACAAAAAGCTGCATTCTGTAGCTAGTATTGCAAAGTAAGAATTTACTTGAAAATTACTATTTCCAAATAAAACTTTAACAATTATGATAGGTAACCCTGATAACGTCAGTTGAAATGCTAATTTTGAAACAGTTATGTTTGTCCATGAGCTTTGCTAAATTAGAACGTGTGTCTTTACTTGAATATAATCAGTGTTCTTTTTTTGTAACTTTGTATACGTGGTTTTCGTATTTATCCATGTTTTCCATTTAATTCCAAAATAGTCGTCGTCTTTCCTCTTCTGCCTCTGTTTTCCCATAGGAAGCTCTGAATTCTGCGTTCATTGTAAACCATGTTTTTCCTTCCCAGTAGCTTAGTGTCTCTCTTAGTTACCTGGGTTCTGGTGAACTGCCAGCTCCTCACCGTGTTCTGCAGGACTGTGTGGTGATTATACAGTGTACTCCACTGTACTATTTGTTTACTGATAAGGAGCGCGGGTAGAAATTCCAGTGCTGATGTGCAGCATATCTGTGTGAGGCTGTCTCTTTGAGGTGGCTAGGTTGAAGTTCTGAAATGAACCTGCATGAATTCGTTAAGTACTGTTATTTGCCATGACCCTTTTGTTTCAAATGCAACACGCATGAAAAAACATGCACAGAGCACTCTGCTTGCACCTTCCATTTCCCACTTGGAGAGTGGAGAGGAAAAGACCACACGTGGTTTATATTGTTCAGTACATTACTAAAAGAGCCTTGGATACATTAAGAATAGTAGATAAGGACCTGAAAGGAATGCTGCCTGGCTAATTTGTGGTTTACATTTTGTGCCAAAAAGGGCTATGTTGCCAGCTGTGTGTGTAACAGTGTAACCTGGCTATAACAGTTACATTGAGATCATGATATTAGGTATTTTCATTTAAATCCGCGGTCCTGAAGTTGATTAAACCTGGGTTAAAACTAATTTGTGTGGCAGTCATCAATCCAGGATGATAACAAATGCAAACTTTCCCCCACACAGTTGCAGAAGAAAACCTTGACTTAAGGCTAGACAGCATAAGGAATTCCAGAAAAAGTTTCAAGAGGATTTTGAGAGGTTTGGGCACTTTTCCTTTTCTCCTTCTCCCATCTCAGTCTAGAATTTCTAAGTGATCTCTTGAACAGGTAGTTGGCAGTATTCTGTTGGTGAAAATGCAAATGAAACATTTGGTTTACATTAGTACGTTTCCTAGCTTGTTCCCTGCCCCTTCCTTGCCCGCCATGTTTTCAATTCAAGCTGATTTATAAACTCAGTTTAATACAGCCAATCTGTTTCAGTGGTTCCATGTTTTACCTTCAGTGATATTGTTGGCCCCTTTCCATCCTCGTGCTGCTTCTCATGTTGCTTCAGTGCAAGCAGTAGCAGATTTGGTCAGTGAAGCGGATTGGGGGCTGAAGGTGAAGCTTGGGAGAGCAGGAGGAGTACATCCATGGCTGAATCCGTTTGCCAGTCTCATTCTCTGTTTATACTCCGCTCCCAAACACATGTAAAGACCGCCTCAGTCGCTTGTGCTGGCCCAAAGCACTGCGCTTTGTTGGGCTCAACAATGAGCAGCGAGGGAACAGAGAGCGGTTTGTAATCGGCACTGAAAAATGTAAAAAATAAGTCTTTTTCAGCAAGTATGTAGCTTGAGTATTAGGAGATTTGTTCACTCTTGACTGTGGTAAATTGATTTGCTTAATAAAAGGAGAAATTCAGTACTTGGAGTTCTATTAACTACCTGACATACCAGAATTGGATTTCTTAATTATCCTTCATGATGATGGTATAAAAATGTTACAAAAGTTTTAGCCAAAATACAGAATTTGTATATCAAAGGAAGCTGCACAAATATGTATTGAAATGCAGACTGGCAAATGGCAATTATAATAAAACCAGGCTTAACATCATAGCCTTTCAGATGAAAGTGAAACACCTTGCACACAAGTGGAAAACTGCTGGCTATATTTCCAGAATGAAGAGCTAATTTAGTAAAACTGGTGGACTTTTATGGGAGAACTGCTTTATAGTGGGTTGGCCAGTTAAATATCTAGTGGATATTGGAAGAACATTATGAAAAGTTACCTAAATCTTGTATGAAGCACCTACAGTAAGGAATTAAGTTCTTCTGCACAAAGTGAAATATTTAATAGTTTCTGTACTTCTACATTTTATTGTAAAAGTGAAACAGGAACAGAATTAAGCCCATGCTGGTTTAGTTAAATATGCAAGTGCTGAATCATATACTGGTGTTAAATTCATTGGGTTAAACAGTGCCTCTGATTTTCTTTAAGGCCCTAAAATCATGCCTCCTCTCAAATGGCAGCTGTAGGTCTAGAATCTGTCTCAGTGTGGACTCACATGACTATTCTACTGTAGGCTTTGCACGATGATTTCCACATCCTAAGTGATTATTTCAACCTCACTTAGTTTCAATTATCTTCTTTTTTTTGGTGGTAATGACTGTGATAATTTTCTTAAAGCAAAATGTCAATGCCTAGCATTTTAGAGATTTTTCTTGGATGATAAGCAAGCCTCAGTGCTAATAAGACATACTGTTTTCTGCACCTAGTAAAGGTGTCTACTTTAAAATGTTTAGATAGATCTTTTCCATTTCAGTCTAGTCTACTCACTGTTGAACCCCAAGTTTTGAACTTGACTTTGTCCTTTTTATTTGTTTAACCCTTTGAGTTATTGGTTCTCAGCTCTTTCTTCAACCAGGAGTCTAAGTATGTTATTGTCTTAGAATTGTTCCTCAGTGTGTCTTGCAGAGGAGAGGAGGGAGAGGACCTTGCTTATTCCTGTGTCTTTCTTGCTTGCTTTCCCTTGCTTAGTGTGAAGGTAGTCACAGTATTAATACAGGTCCATTCTTCCTCTATACAACTTGCCTCATTAATTTTGAATGTATTACGTTTCAGTTTCTGATATTACATAGTCAGAAGTCAATCATGTCACACTGCTGGCGTTTATGTGTGTGTATGTAATAGCGCTCAATGTCACTAATTAATACTCCACACTAATGAATGTTTACTTGAATCCATTCTATAACAACAAATTGTCAATGGGAATACGTTCCCTTTAGAGAAAAGGAATTCATTTTCTGAAAGACTAAGGCAAATTCTTTATAGGATTGAAACAAAAAGGTGCTTGACCTTGGTTGAAAGAATACGTCATCAGGGAGTAACGGGTAAAGGTTACTTCAGTGATAAATGAGAATTAGCTTCTTTTTACTCACACCTTATTGACAGGAAAGTATTAAAACATCCTTTCAAAGTATTTATCCTTACAAGCTGTCTTTGAAGTTGTTTGATATACCTTAAGTTATGCAAGCATAATCAGATATTTTTTTTTCCCCCCAGTCGGTGTTATCCGCTGTCCAATTTGTGGTCAGGAATGTGCAGAGAGACACATCATAGATAACTTTTTTGTGAAGGATACCACAGAGGTTCCCAGTAGCACAGTAGAGAAATCAAATCAGGTAAGTGCATTAACATGTAATCAAGTTAACACCTTTTGGATGTGTATGCATATCCTTGGCTTCTTGCCGTATGGCCTTTTTGCTGTTCATACGCAGAAAAAGACTTCAAGTACTTAGTCATCACATGGGGTAGCTACTCTAGAAAATCAGTTAAAATCAATGAAAGTGCATGTGAAGAAGGTGGTTCTCTTATTCTAAACTATTTTTAATTGTTGATATAAAATTTTGTTGTGATAAGAAAAGATAAAAGTAAGGCATAGGTGCTAGAATGGGGATTTCTGTACTTTGGACAGGGCACTTGAAGCACTCTTTGAAGCAGAGACTGAACGACACTATGTCAAGAGATCTCAATGTAAAATGCAATCCTCCAGTTAAATTGACTTTATTTTTCTTATCTCAGCACTGACAAAACATGGCACTAAATAGCTGCAGTGCAGTTACCAAGCAAGAGGCTCAAACTTCTAATTGGGGAAGACAGTATGTTGTAGGGGTTTCTTGTTTGTTTTTCTTATGTAGGCTGCCTCTTCTTCCTTTTGCAATCAATAATAGCCATCTCATAAACCCAAAACCTGCTTATCTGGAAGAATAGTAATACTGGGTTTTTTTCCTCATGATGGTTTTTCAGGAGGAAAG